AGGGGACACACCTGGGGCAGCTGACCCCGACTGACCAAAGGGATATTCCCCATCATATGATGTCATGCTCAGCAATAAAAGCTGGGGGAAAGAAGAAGGAAGGGCAGGGGAGGATGTTCAGAGTTATGGCACTTGTCCTCCTAAGTAACCATTAGGCACGATGAAGGCCTGCTTTCCTGTAAATGGCTATGCCTCTGCCTGCTGATTCAAAGCAGCAAACAAATTCCTTATTTTGCTTTGCTTGCACATACAGCTTTTGCTTTACCTATTAAACTCAAGCCATGAGATTTCCCACTTTTACCCTACCTATTCTCTCCCCCACCTAATTTGGGGGAGTGAGTGAGCGGCTGTGTGGGGCTCAGCTGCCTACTGGGGTTAAACCATGGCAGAGCTACAGCACTCAGCTGAACACAACTCTTGTCTCTGACCATTGCTATTTTTGTTTACTTATAACAAATCTTTTTTCATATATCTGAGTTTCTGCTTGGATTAAGTCTCTTAATGCAGTTTATTAAAAATAGATTTCTGCATCATTCCGGGTATTACATGTATACTTCAATATAAAAAAAGCATGATGAAATTTTGAAACCAGTATTCATTGTCTTATTCATAAATAGGCTCCCAAACATGGAGCTTGCCTCTTGTGCAGTATAATATTAAATCAGAAGGAGAAAAAAAGAATGAGTGGCACAATGGATGTGAATAGAATAATTTTGAAACATTACAGGGTTTTTTTTATGCATGTTTACCAAATTTCTGTATAAATAAGTAATACAACTGGAGTCCTGCGTAATTTCAGGAGATTAGTGATAAATGGGCACAAGTTGATTATTCAAGATAAAGCTGAGGGTCATTATCCTCAGCTGGTCATTAATCCTCATGAAATGACTGGTATTGAGATAGTAATTACTATTATAATGAAAATGGTGGGGGAAAAAAAAAAAAGCATGACATTTCTCTTATGAAGCTGTCTCAATTTCTAAAGAATTCATGTTTCTCTCATCACCCAATCAAGTTGCTTTAATCATTTTTAACCCTTTATGCAGTTTATTCATCCTACTACAATTCTTATGTACAGTTCACTTAAGGTTTGGTTTCCCATCATATATTCCTGGAATTTTGAGGGGCATAGCAAGGGGCAACAGTGATGGGAAAGAAAGACGATGCACACAAATCCTCCCAAAGCAGAAAATAAATAAAAAATATTTTCTGAATGTTTTCTCTATACAGTGTGTTCCACAATGAGGTATGAGATTGCATTATTATGCTACACACTCTCTAGCTATTTATTCTGTATTTAGTAGTCCTTTTAGCAATAGCACACATGTCCCATGCTGTTGCATAACACCTGTGGAATTCTTTGTTCCAAAAGAGAATTCACCTTGTAGCATCACAACATATGGAACTGATACTGTCAAGTCAACTTGGTCAGATATCAGGATGAAATTTGGCCCTAAAATGAAGAAACATCTTTAAAACTTCACAAATTAAGTTTCTGGTGTTCTGATGTGCCTTCTGAGAACTTCTGAGCTTTTGGAGTTCTTTTTTTTCACATTTCTATTAGAAGAGCTAGAAACTTATTACAGGCAGAAGTGAAAGCAATTCGCTTCCCCCTAGAAATGCTATCATTCTGTTTCCACTGTGAGAGCCCCACACATGCTGCATTATTACGACTTCCCAGCTTAGAAACTGAAAAGCTTACTCTAAACTAAAACCTTTTAAAATAAGCTAAGAAAGTTAAAAAAATACATCTATTGCCTAATAGTTACTGCTAAAGCAAACAAGGTACAGATATTCATTACTCCTAGTACTTTTTTCTAAAGCTTTTCTGTGAACAATTTTCTAAGAAGGGGATCCCAGGAAAGCTACAGGATGTACCAAGTTTCTGCTGGAAAATTTGCAGTTGCTTCTGAAGTGCTTCAATATGCATAAAAGAGAGGAAGTAGACCAAGGCTCAAAACAGTTTTAGGCAAAACAGCCGATAGGATGTTGCTCTGAGAGCTGCAAACCCAGTTCTGCATGGTAGAATAAAACCAGATAATGGTGGACACAGATAAGTGACTTTGCAGTGCAGCTTGGGAGACTGATTTGTCCTTCTGGCTTGCTTAAGCTGTTTGGAGAGCTTGAAGCGAAACCTAATGATGCATGTCTGCTTGCAAAATTAATCATTCAATACTGGACAGCTATCGAAACTGGACTATTGGCTATTTGGAGAGAGTGTGAGAAGCAAAAAAAAAAAAAAAAGCCTAAGTTCTGAAAGCTCTGAACGACATTGAGCAGAGCATAGTTTAGAAAACATGGCAAGTCCTCTGGAAGTAGAGACATGTTTTTTGACAGCCAAGGCCAAAGCATGGTCTGTCAATTTTCTGGAAGAAAGGGAAAAACAGTAAGTTATTTGGGAGTAGAACCTTGTCTGGAAAAGAAGTAATGTGATAGAGACAGGGGAACTAAACATAATTATGCATCACAACAGCTAATAGGATTCAAAAGCATGGTGAAAACTCACATTGCTGGTTACAGACGAGCAATTGGGTTGCAGTGTGGTTGTTTCATATTTGCCAGCTAAAGCCAGGGCATGCTAGTGCAACACACTCAGTGGAGAGAGTCAAAGTCTGCAACAATTGCTGTTACCATGCACACATTAACAATTCAAACCAAAAGGGAAAAAAACCCAAACCAAATCTGGACAACATGCTTCAAAACTTCTAAGGAGACTTATACCTATAAGGAGATTTCACTCCATTCCTTTCACCCACTCCAAAATCAATTTTCTCTTTGCTACAAGTCCCTTGAACAAAGCACAAATCACCACTGACTGTAGATAACATCAGCGCTTCTGAAGAAGTCGCATGATTCAGGGAAAGCAAAATGTGACTTCTAATTTTTCTGTGCTCCTTGGAAAATCTAATACATAGCACATCCACTAATGTCAAGAAGGATGCTGAGGATCTACTGGCCTTCTCTAGACTTTATGTATGTATGGAAATGTACTGCTTGCTTTTTTCACTCTGTTTCCTTCTGCAGGATAAACATTGTAAAGAGAAGAACACCTTATACTACACTAGCATCCTGTGTGGCTACAAGGAATATTCCCTGAAGTTTTACATTTCCAAAAATGTAGAAAAATAACTTAAGATTCTATAGAACAACCACTCTTTAGGGAATTCCAGCACAGCAGAAAAGTAAGCAGTCCTGAATAAAACAGGAAAAACAGAATGTTAATTATTTCCCTGCTGTTAGTCTGTTGTGCATTTCTGTGGCATTCTTATGTTACACGTTGAAAGAACTAGCATATTTGCATGCAATCTTTAAGCATCCCTTACATTTCAGTGATTCCATTTACAGCAACCAGGAAATGGAATGAAGCTGTGCTAGGGGGAGTTCAGATTGGACATTAGGAAAAAGTTCTTCACCAAGAGGGTGGCCGGTCACTGGGACAGGCTCCCCAGGGAAGATCATGCCACCAAGTCTGTCAGAGTTCAAGGAGTGTTTGGATGATGCTCTTAGTCATATTGTTAAGCTTTAGGTAGTCCTACAAGGTCAGGGTGTTGGAGTCGATGACCCTTATGGGTCCCTTCAACTTGAGATATCCTATGGTTCTACAATTTCCATTAATGGATGTCTTATTTTTATAGTAGTTTTTGTAAAATACTCAAGTCTATATTCAGCACACACCTGCTTCATTACAGTTAATTGCAGTAAGATGCTTTTTGCCAGTCTGTGTGACATAAATGCCTATGCAACTACAACACATTTGTACATTTATAAAAAGACTTGCTAGATTTTGATGTTAAAAATGAAAGCCTTTTTCTTTTCTCTTTTTTTTCCCCAATATGTTGTGTGATATTTTTTCTACAGCGCCAAATCTTGGGAGTTTGTGATTAGGACAAAAATTTAAAATACTTGAAAACACTTATAAACAAATTTGTCAGAGCTCATGGCTGCAAAATGATTTGTAAACATGATTCAAGTATACCCTGAAGGTTTAAAGAGTGAATTATTATTTTATTTTGGGAGTGCTGAATCATGATTTTTCAATACTTACAGCTGGCAGCTGCAAGACACTTGTAAGCTGGAATTCCAATTTAATGAGTAGCCTATAAAATATTCAGGCTAACATTTAAAACTTTTCAAGCTACAGTCAATCCATACAGAAAAGTTTGCAGAGATAATAGATAACTGAAAAATACCACTGTGGCACCAGGAACTATATATTCTTAAAACCTCTTAATATCTGGGCGGTGGGAGGAAGAAGGGGTAATATTTGGTAATTTGTTTTAGAAAACCTAACTGCAGTCTCACAGACTTTAAAATGTTGATTACTGCAAAGACAAGGAATAGACTTATTTGATGGAAGTAGTAAAGCTTTTTTTGCATTAAAGAATATCTGAGATGGTAAATAACAGGCTAGCAGGTAAAAAGAATGAGAAATGCTAAGCTGATGCTGTTGACTATAATGATATTTTTCATAAATTTTCTTCCTTGTGTTCCTCAAAGGTTTCCTGCAGGAAAGACACATCATCTCCAAGACAAGGCATTTGCCTGGTTTCAAAGACTGTTCCATTATTTTTTTTTACCCCCTGCATTTTTGTGCTAGCAACATCTTACTCTGCTTTTTGTGCTGTACTCAAACATTTCACTAAATATGTCAGCTTCATCCTTCCAACCCTGTAATAGTGTAGTATTTTATTAAAATATACTTCTATGTAAATTAATTTTTTTATCAGCTCTGGTTTTATATGGGAAAAATATGAGGATTTGCTGCCAAATTTGTACCACTCTATCATCTGAGTGAATAAAACAGATGTGGCCAATACTACCTGCTTAGATTAGCTAATATGTCCCACCTATATTTCCTCAGTCCATGCATCCATGCATTATAATAAACCATGTACTGCACTAAGTTTAAAGTGAAAAGGCAGTCAAGTAAACAGGCAGATTATACATTTGGTGTTAGCACATCATAATTAACTTTTTGTTTTTAAACTGAACAGACTCACCCGTTAGAAGAGAAATTGTAATAACCACTTTCCTCTAGAACCTCTTCAATTAGAGTCTATAGGATAGAAGGAATTAATTTTAGTAAATTATCTTTATTTAACGTAATAAATTAATACACATTGGTACATTTATAGCTTACCTGCAACTGTTCATATGTCATCCCTTCTGCTATGTCAGAATTGCCAACAATACCTTAAAATAAAAGGCAAGTAATGTTATTCTACTGAATTTGGGGTTTATGCTCCCTCATCAATTTCTTCGCAACTCCACTACAAATACAATAATAAAAGAGATGCTTGTTATTAGCAGCTTATTCCACTGATCACAATGACCCCCTGTAAAGGTGGGAGGCAACTTGCAGCATGACGTGAACATTTGAGACATACAATATTATGATGTTATGAAAGGGTTCTGATTGATGGAAAATATTTCAAATATTTAACAGAACAGAAAACAGCAATGCAACTTTCTTATTCTTCTCCACTTACAATGTATAGTGGAAAGGGCACACAGCCAGCAGCAATTTGTGAAGACAAATGTATTCTGTGCAGGTTAAGAGATGCAAATATTAGAGATACTGAACATCTGGACAAATTCCATTGTTGTCTCTGGGAACAAAATAAAGCTCATATTTAAAGTGATTGTTAGGGACATATTTCCTACTCATATCATCCTTGACACCTAGTATAATTTGGGGGTTTTGCAATAGGCTGTGGAACTGATACACTAGTTTCAACATAAAGGCCAGCAAAATCAAAGTTTCTCACCCTTTTTTCTGGCACCATAATTTTTAACGTCACCATGTCCTCTAGTCCATGGGTTGCAACATAGCTTTTCCTGTATTTAGAAGAATGGAAATGGCACAAGTACCAAAACACAGGCTGCTCGTTTCCCTTATGTCCATTGCACAAAGATGTATGTGATGAAACAAGTCTCTGAAGTGGGAATTGTAGTTCCTCACCCTTTACGATTCCAGTGATGGTAGGTTTGATTAAAGATGGAGTTCACAATTTGTCACGCTGAGTATCAGTAGTCCAAAGTATATTTGACACTATTGATTTTCTAAAGTGTGTGTGTATATATATATATGTTTTACATTATATGGATGTGGTATAGCATGAAGAGTTTCATTCCTCAAGTTTGTATGGTTTTATGTAGCTGGGTAATTAAATCATCCCAGTATAACTTTTCAAATATAACAGAAGAACAATGTAGAGTTTAAAAAGAGTTTGTTTAACAATCACATGTAAGGACAGGTAAATCCTAAGTAGGAGATTTTCCATTAAAACATTTCTATTTCTTTTCATGGATGAACCATGTGTTATTTGCACCTTAGATATTTCTTTGTCATTTCAAAGTATACTCTCTTAAATTAGTACAATGTTCCATCAGTTGTAAACTGCATATCTTACCAGGAATTAAACAAATGTACAACTCAAACAAACAAAAATGGTAATGAAAATCAGTAGTCAACATAATTTTACTCTCTGCTTTGGTACCATACACTTTATATTCTTTTATACAGATGCCACTACAGAGGTTTTGTTGCTTTCTTTACCTTTCCTGTCATCTGGAAGCAACATATTTCCACCTGAAGAGAGAAGTACCACGTGCCAATCTGCTGTGAAGAAGTTTGGATCAATCAGTTCAGGAGAACCTTGCAGCAGCTGGGGAAGGGGAAAAAAAAAATTGGGAACAACTCTGACATGAAAATATCTTTGTGGGCAGGAAAGGAACTCCAGTTATGCATTTCTGCAGCATGTTAACACTTTTACACTTACAGAAACAGAAGAATATCTGTTATTGGAAGACCTCTATCCAATCACCAATCAGTGACAGAATCTTTTTGTCTGTTATTATAATTATAATTATAATAGGATTTCTAATTCAGCATAGTTAAGAACGCATGATTTCTTAATTTTATTTGCAGAAGTTACACAATCTTATAACAACACTTGTTGGAAGACTTCAACCTAGTTATTTTCCCTATTTATATTTTTCTTACCTCCAAATGATATCCATACACATTGTATTTATAGTAATGATTTTTCGTAAAATATGTACCATTTATTCATGGATGCTTATCAATTCTCCATCCTTCTAACTGAGGGGTTTGTTATTGCTTTCTATTAACTATTTCCTTCAAGGTAGAAATGCCCAGAATTGCATTTAGTGTTTCAAACATCTTCAATTAACTAACATTTAATTTTTAAATAGTGTATTTCTTCCCTTTTCTTCAGGTTTAAATCCAATAAGTTTGAAGCTAACACAATTTTACAGTTGATAACATTTATAAATTTATAAATAAATAAATAGGTACCTTTATTTCTAGGCATTTAAAAATTAGGTTAATTTTATAACAAACATTTCCATTTTCTTACCATATTTTTGGGCATCCTTTCCTGAAAGAATCAACTCAATATACAATTAGCAAATGTTATGGCTGAAATACAGGAATTGTTTAGCATAGACCACAGGTAGTAATTGGTGTACTGCACCTTTTTCATTTCTGATTTCAGATTACAAGGATTGCTCTGCTGGCTGAAGAGGGACTTCTTAAATCTCTCAATGATTCTCCTTTTCAAGTTGCATTGCAAAGCTGGAGGAAGCTACATGAAACAAAGAAACAGATGTTTACACCTGCTGTAAAAATTACCTAATCAGCAGTACCATTATTGAAAAAAGCAGCTACACTGCAAAAAGAAACATTGATATTTACTAGCATGGTGCTAAACAGCAGTACAAGACTTGATTTCATGGCATAATTTAGTAATGCTCCGTAGTTTGCAGTTAGGCTTGGCGTATCATATTACTCAGTTCTCTAACCTTGAAGGTAAACATCATAATCACAAGCCTAATACAGGTAATACTAGATTTGCTTCCCTGATCAAAGTGCTAGTATTCAGACATTTTTCTACAGATGAAACTCACAGAATGTTAGACTAGATTTCACATTGGCTGTAATGAGTCAATCCAGCTGAAAGTAATGGAACTTCAAGAATCTAAGACCTGCATTCAATGTGTGTAGATCAACTTCAACAGGCTCTTTAAGGTCCTTATGTGCATCTTAACACAATTTAAAATGTCTATTTTGATAGAAGCTTCCTGTGGGAGGTAATTTACATTTCACTTCTCTATAAAGCAAAACTGATTTTGTATACTTTTTCCTCCTGTACTTCTTTTGGTTGAAAAAGTACACATCTTTCAACTATATTTGCAAAAGAAAAGCACAAATCATACTTTATTGTGCTTAAAGTCTTCAATAGAGAGTTCAAAGGAGGTCTCTTCCATTGGTCTTTGAGATTTTAAAACATTTTTATGCTCCAACAGTAAATGTAAATCTTCAGCTGTTTGTCACTGCAATGACACTAACCCACCCTGATCATAGAATGGTTTAGGTTGGAAGAGACCTTTAAGATCATCTAGTTCCCACCCCCCTGCCATGGGCAGGGACACCTCCCACTCAACCAGGTTGCTCAAAGACCCATCCAGCCTGGCCATGAGCAATTCCAGGTATGGGGCATCTGCCACCTCTCTGGGCAATCTGTTGCAGTGCCTCATCACCCTCACTGTAAAAAAATTCTTCCTTATATGTCGTCTAAATCTACCTTCTTTTCTAAAAGGAAGGCCCTTGTAAAAAGTCCCTCTCCAGCTTTCTTGCAGGTCCCCTTCAGATACTGGAAGGCTGCTATAATGTCTCCCTGGAGCCTGCTCTTCTCCAGGATGAACAACCCCAACTCTCTCAGCCTGTCCTCATAGGAGAAGTGTTCCAGCCCTCTGATATTCTTCGTGACCCTCCGCTGGACTTGTTCCAACAGGTCCATGTCCTTCCTGTGTGAGGACTCCAGAGCTGGACGCAGGACTCCACGTGGGGCCTCACCAGAGCAGAGTAGAGGGGTAGAATCACCTCCCTGGACCTGCTGGCCATGATTCTTTTGATGCAGCACAAAATGTGGTTGGCTTTCTGGGCTGCCAGCATACATTGCCGGCTCACGTTGAGCTTTTCGTCCACCAACACTCCTAAGTCCTTCTCCTCAGGGCTGTTCTCCAGCCATTCTCCGTCCAGCCTGTATTTGCACCTGCGATTGCCCTGACCCACATGGAGGGCCTTGCACTTGGCCTTGCTGAACCTCATGAGGTTTGCACAGGCCCACCTCTGAAGCCTGTCCAGGTCCCTCCGGATGGCATCCCTTACCTCCAGCTTGTTGACCACACAGCTTGTGTCAGCAAACTTGCTGAGGGTGCACTCAATCCCACTTTTCAGGGGCAAATGCTCCATGATCTTGCCAGACACAAAGATGAGACTGGCTGGCCTGTAGTTTCCCCCCCGTCTTCCTTTTTCCCCTTTTTAAAAATGGGGGTTATGTTTTCCCTTTTCCAGCCAACAGAAACTTCACCAGCTATTAAATTTATTTTATAAATTAATAAATCACTGCTCTTAGAAAGCTATAAATCTAGAAGGGGTATTTTAGCCTCACATGAGTCCTGATTTGCTCTGACAAACCAGACATCAAGGTTACATCCTAAGCATAGCAGACTTCATGAGCCAGCTGGTTGCATATAGTTTCTTGTTACACGTAGATGCCACTCTCTTTTCATGCAGATAAGGCCTTACACATAACCTTTAAGTCAGATGTTGAATGTTCCTCAGCCTATAAGTGAGTAAAAAAAAATGATGCTTTAGGAAAGGCCTGCAAGATACTCTATAGACTACATGCCACTGCAATGAACTGTGTGCAGTTAATGTACCATGGGCAGATTGGGATATTCTGAAACAAAACGTGTTAAAAGAATAAGTCCACTGCTTGAGAAACTCAGAATTGCCTCAGGCACTAGTGTTCAATTTTAGCTTTTGTTTTAATAAAATCAGATGTCAAATCAAGTTTAGTTAAAAAAAAAAAAGGGGGGGGGGGGGGGGGGGGGGGGGGAAATAGGCCAAGGAATTTTATTATAGATGTTATCAATAGCAAAAGCTGATCTACTTTTGTTCTCCACCTGCCGTGTGTGTGTCCTCTTCCTCTTTTCCTTCACCTGGCTCCGGGAGGCCG